CGGTAGATCAAACTTCTTTGCCAATTCACAAATTTTCATTTTTGTATCGAAGTCTTTAATAATGGGTACGTTCGTAAAGTCAAACAAGTTAAACGTGTTAGTAACGAATTGTTCGAAAAGTCTAATGAAATAGGAATAACGATAACTTTATTCTCGCTTAACTCGTTCGACTTTACGAACATACCCAATGTTAACTTTACATTCCAAAGATAAAGTTTTTCTTTTCTTGTTTGATGCAGAAGAATTAGTTCTACTTCGTTTGGATGACATAGTAGAGTCTCTCAAGTCTCCGTAGATATAACAAACACAGAAATAAATAACACAAAATAAATTGTAGCTATGTGTGGATTCCGCACAACACATCCAAACATGTAAGCTGAACAATAGTGTGGAGAGAGTGAGTAATCTAGCGTTGCGTGGCGCTCAAACAAAAGAAAAATCTACAAGATTTGAAAATCACATAACTCCAGGTTTGCGTAAGTCGGGGTATTACTGTATATACATTATATGGACCACGGGAAAAAAATGCAAAAAAAATAATTAGTTCAAATTTCTACCAATAGATTAAAAAATGGCACACGAAGAACAAGAAACACAAAATGGAAACACACAAAATGCTTTTATTTAGGAAATTTGTTCAATGTTCAATCCATTTGCATCAATCACATGTTCAAAGCACCTTACAGTGTGGCAGTATGCCATAATTTTGTATATATGCGCTAGTTGTAAGCCTAATATTAATTATTCGATCTTCTGTTCTTTGTTTCCCTATTTCTCGATGTTTCCATTCTTCACTAACTTATCGGTGGCGGGACAACACTGTTCTGAGAATGAGGTGAGAAGAACAAAGAGCGAGCACCCTGAGGCATGTGGGGTGGGGAGATAATGGTCATTCTTGACTCAAACTTGAGAGTGAGCAGATGGTGAGTGCAGAGTTCAAGATTGCTGTTATGAAGAACAGAAAGACGACGAAGTGTCTATCCAATTGGAGAAGAACTGAGTATATCTGACTCTAAATATACTATAAAAAATGCAGATCAATTGATCTCAAGATTAATGCATGGTCAAAGTAAGAAATCTTATAGATTCCTAAGTTTGGATGTAAAATCTATGTATCCTTCAATAAATTGGAATTTTATTATAGAAAGTTTAAGTAAATATAATTTACCTTGTCACATTTTAGAATTTATACAGTTTACTTTTAAAAATAATTATTTTAAAATCTCTACAGAACATTATCATCAAAGAGATGGAATAGCAATGGGATCAGTGGTCGGCCCAAAACTTGCAGACATTTGTATGGCATCATTAGATAAAAAAATATTCCACTTTCGAGGTATTGTTTTTTATACTAGATATGTGGATGACATATTAATTTTGTACGACTCAAACGACACCACAGCTGAAAATATCAAGATTTATGCAAATAGTTTAAATAAGAACATTAAATTTACCTATGAAGAAGAAAGAAATTATGAAATTAATTATTTAGGTGTCACAATTACAAGACAAAATGAAACATTGCTGTTTCATAAGTACGAAAAAGTATGTAATAATAGTAAGGTGATTAATTATAAATCATATTGTCCTATGGGAATAAAACAAAATGTATTTTTGATGGAATTAAGGAAAATATTTAACAGAACAACATTAAAAAAATATATTGAAATAGAAACTAAGAATCTTTTTAAAAAATATTTATTAAATGACAGCAGCTTATACAAAAATGGTATAATACTTATATTAATAATAGATATAATGTCAAAAATAAAAAAATAGAAAATTTATACATTAAAATTCCGTATATTTCAAAATTTTATGAAAAATATAAAAATTATATTAAAAGAATTATTTTTTGTCAACTTAGTAGGTGAACAAAGAAATAGGTTAAATAAGAGTATCTGTTTAATTAATAAAGTAAATGAGAAAAAATTGAAGAATTTTTCAGAAGTAGCATGAATTGTATATAGGCTGATGTGTACATGTACAGAACAGAAATATTATATTGGAGAAACAGGAAGAAAACTTGAAGTGAGATTGAAAGAGCATGAGGCGGCAATCCGACTAAACAGAACCGAATTCCCGTGGCAACAACACTGCAGTATAACAAACTGTATTATTGACTGAAATAATATTAAAATATTGTACAAAGTAAAAAACTTGTAAAAAAACATGTTATAGAACATTATTGTATGAAAGGATATGTAAATTGTATTAATTTAAATACTGGTGCATGTGTTGATGCATGCTGGGATAGCTTGATAGAGTATAAAAGTATTGGCAATGTAAGATTGTAACGTCCACTGATGAGGCTGATAAGCGAAATATATATGGATAAAAAAAAAAAGAAAAAAGAAAAATAAAGTGAGAAATACTAAATAGATTTCTAGTCCATCTCTGTTTTTAATTCTATCGAAATCGGTTTTAAAAAGTGAATGTCACTTGTTATTTTCTTAAAGAATTTTTTTTAAAAAAAATTTTTTAGAATTTATTATTTTAATAGTGATGATTATGTTAAATATGAATTTACTATCATAAAAAATATCAAATTGCCATACTTACTAATCCTATGATTAAGTTGAAAACCATCTGCATTGTTATTTTCATTGCTGTGGAATTTTACTCTTACAAGATTTGATCTGCTAATTATATCTGNCATAAGTACGAAAAAGTATGTAATAATAGTAAGGTGATTAATTATAAATCATATTGTCCTATGGGAATAAAACAAAATGTATTTTTGATGGAATTAAGGAAAATATTTAACAGAACAACATTAAAAAAATATATTGAAATAGAAACTAAGAATCTTTTTAAAAAATATTTATTAAATGACAGCAGCTTATACAAAAATGGTATAATACTTATATTAATAATAGATATAATGTCAAAAATAAAAAAATAGAAAATTTATACATTAAAATTCCGTATATTTCAAAATTTTATGAAAAATATAAAAATTATATTAAAAGAATTATTTTTTGTCAACTTAGTAGGTGAACAAAGAAATAGGTTAAATAAGAGTATCTGTTTAATTAATAAAGTAAATGAGAAAAAATTGAAGAATTTTTCAGAAGTAGCATGAATTGTATATAGGCTGATGTGTACATGTACAGAACAGAAATATTATATTGGAGAAACAGGAAGAAAACTTGAAGTGAGATTGAAAGAGCATGAGGCGGCAATCCGACTAAACAGAACCGAATTCCCGTGGCAACAACACTGCAGTATAACAAACTGTATTATTGACTGAAATAATATTAAAATATTGTACAAAGTAAAAAACTTGTAAAAAAACATGTTATAGAACATTATTGTATGAAAGGATATGTAAATTGTATTAATTTAAATACTGGTGCATGTGTTGATGCATGCTGGGATAGCTTGATAGAGTATAAAAGTATTGGCAATGTAAGATTGTAACGTCCACTGATGAGGCTGATAAGCGAAATATATATGGATAAAAAAAAAAAGAAAAAAGAAAAATAAAGTGAGAAATACTAAATAGATTTCTAGTCCATCTCTGTTTTTAATTCTATCGAAATCGGTTTTAAAAAGTGAATGTCACTTGTTATTTTCTTAAAGAATTTTTTTTAAAAAAAATTTTTTAGAATTTATTATTTTAATAGTGATGATTATGTTAAATATGAATTTACTATCATAAAAAATATCAAATTGCCATACTTACTAATCCTATGATTAAGTTGAAAACCATCTGCATTGTTATTTTCATTGCTGTGGAATTTTACTCTTACAAGATTTGATCTGCTAATTATATCTGCTGGATTGTGGAGACCACAAAACCTTCCTAATAAATTCCATTTTTGATTATAATAATCCTCCACCTATAAAGTATGTAAGATATATATAACTATTATTATTATCCAGAAGTGAATGTTTGTTTTTTTTGGTAAACTGTAGCACTAATGTATGTACATACATTAGGCTGAAAATCTTACTGTAAAAGCAAATAAATGTTTCTCAGCAGCCAAAAGTGCTTAGTGATGAATTAAAATTAACTTTATACAATATTAATAAACATATTTATATTAAATTTGTATTAGCTTCCAATAAAAAATTTATATTTTTACTGAAATCAATTAATTATAAAATCTTACTAGAACATAATCGTTGCAATTTTGTTCAATATCAAATCTGCCAGGAAATGATAACAAGAAATGAAAATCTGGCTTTGTTTCCAAAATCCATATACATTCTATATTATTCGGATAACGACTATTTGTTTCTGATGTTGGTGAAAATATTGTTCCTTGATCACTACTTATTTCATGTCTAATAAAACCACCACATCCTGTAAATTATGCTTAATTTAATTTTCTTTTTTTAATTACTCTTAAAAATTAAAATATTAAATTAGGA